ATTACATTTATATAGCGCTTTTCTAGGCACTCAAAGCGCTTGTAAATATAATCAGCTGATTGTCTCACAAACGTTCCAGCACATTTCTCCCCACATAGCAAACCCATAATACAGCGAGGGAGAAGAACCACATGAAACTACACAACTATATATGTTTTCTAACAGGGTAGTAAAAGTTTAGCTGGCTAAATATGCGCTGTTACTGTGGCTGAGCTGGTTAAAGCGTAAAGCCATGTTTAAACTCGACGCGTCCGCATGATATGAGCCCAAAGGTGCGCGCGGCAAAAATGACATGATTGTAACAGCGCGCGCCTCCGCATCCCCTAGACACCATTTACTACACACAATAGGCTTTTTTCTCTGATTTTGAAAACTCTTCGCGATCGACTTAAAATGCTTCCAAGATCGACTTGTCGACCGCGATCGACGGGTTGGTGATTCCTGTAACATACTGTTTTACGGTCAATGACAAGAGTACTAATCAGCTGTCTCACGAACGTAACCAGCACATTTATCCCCACATAGCAAAGCCATAACACAGCGAGGGAGAAGAACTAAATTACATGAAACAGTCCAACTACATATTTTACACCACTGACGAGGGAAAAGTCACTACTCACGGTGTTTATGACTAGCTTCTTCTAGCTTCCTGCGGCTTCTCTTTCAAGGTAGTGACGAAACGCGCTCTGTAGCGCTGTTTGTTCGCGTTCGGCTACTGTAGAAACATGACGTCACAATTTGTCGACCTTCATAGAAGGGGGTGCCCGCGGTTATGTAGATATAAATGTCTCATTCTAAGGTAATAAAAACATTACGGTTTATTAAGTAAGTTCTTTATACATCTCTGAAAACATAGTTATGGATGTCATATTGCATTTCTGTTAATAGATACTCAAAATTATTACACATTGCACCTTTAAAACAAAACAAACTGGATTAGACACTTAATTATGTAAGTATAAGAATTATAACATTATTATTAGAAAATGGACTTATACTGGGTGCTCGCCTGCTGTGTGTAATCAAATGCATCGTTTTCATTTTATTCCTCAGAGACTGAATCTCGCGCTCTGCTGCCACACTGGAGTGCACTCGCCACCAACTGGGAATTACAGTTACAAGTTACAAAAGATCACCCTCAGTGTAATCTGTCAAAATGATGGACGGCCTTTATTTTTTCGTTACTTCTAAAAAAAAAAATCAGAAAAATGTTGGTTAACGAGACATCCCGATTTTTTTGCATATACAGATTTTATCTAGATGGATTTTTGAAAGTCTGGACAGCAAAAAAAACACATGCAATATGATTTCTTCAAACCACACATATGGAGGTGGTTTGAAATGCAATTCCAATCAGATTTTTAGAGATGCGTCTCAGTCTGGATGATCTGGCTGCTCAAAACGAATTTCTTAATTGTCTTTTGCATCACTCTTAATGCGACACGCAACGATAACGTCAAAACTGGTGGCGGAAATTCTGGAAGTATTCATATGGTGTTCAAATGGTATGTCCTCAGATTTCAGCATTTTCCTGTGCAACAGAGGAGCACCGCAACTTGACAGGGCGGTTTATATTGGAGAGCGAGAAACAAACATGCCGGACGATGGGCAAGAAGAAATGGCGATAATAGTGTTTGGACTGCTTTTGATAGAAAATTTGCGGAAATAAAAGAAAAAGGTTTAGATGAAGTCGTATTATTCTTCCTTCTGTCAGCTCGCTTTCTAATTTGGTATGGTTTCATTCCACGTGACAAACTACAGAGTGTGTGTGTGTTTGTCATCGGGGTTCCTCCCGCACAACAGGATTTTTTATCATAAATATTCAACATGTTGGATATTTACAATTTGAGATCGGTGCAGTCACGACATTCTTCTGAGCAGATTCAATCACTCTTAACACACATCACACCAAGATCTGATAAAATAATCTGTAGAAGCATCAAGATAATCAGGACTTTACCTAGGATTGTCGGAATGACAGAATTGGGCCCAAAATCGGCCAGATTATCTTGTAGTGTGTGAGTGCCTTAAGAGATCCAAAATGTGCAGTGTTGGGGGATATTTTACTTGTTTGTGTAATTTTACATATTTTCTCCAACAGTCCATAGCTATAGGTCAATCAAACATTGCACAAAAGTAAAAATAATAATAATAATACATCCGCTTCATAGCAGATTCCAAGTCATTAAGGACTTGGTAGCACCCCTGCTACTACTGTAAGCAATGAAGTACAATGCACCGGAGGGAAGTTAGCGAGAGAAGGGCATTAAAAAAACTAAGTGGAACACAGCTCATGTCAGCACACCGTAGGAATAGAAGTCCCACGTTTCAAATAAAGGAGCCAATCCCATTCAAGCAGGTGTGAGCCAAAATGGCCACTGAGTGGACTGACTTGCCTTAAAGGGGTTTTGGTATCATTCACCTCTACAAGAACTATTTTTATACAGACATTCCACATTTTCTCCTGGCGAATTAGAGAGCGGCTGAAAGAAAAAGAGGCAAGAAAGAGACAGGTGATGATTCCCCAATCACAAAGCATGTCCACGAAAACAACAGCATCGACACAATTTCAAACATCGCATCTAAACAGACAAAAAGCCAATCCTGAGAAACAGTTGGATCAACTACCTTGAAAAACACCCAACTAAACTAGTGCTGAGTGCAGCATTTTCATTAACCGTTGCTCATTTTCCCTTCAGGGGGCAGGAGACTATGAATACTTCTAACACACAAAGCCTCATAAAACTGCCACACGGTGCGCTTTCCACATGCTCGGAAAACAAATAAACGATGTTAAGAGGTGCAAAAGGCTCATGAGAACTTGTCTCCGACCGCCTCCGCCGTCTGCCACCCAGCCTTACTTTTGCCCCCTTCCTATCGTTTTTTTTTTTTTTTTAAGTCCATTTCCTCCGGTTTCGCAGAGGCAATGTGTTGAGCAGATGTGAGCAGTTATTAAGCAGAACCACTAGCCTCTTTAAATGGAGTCCTGGCTACACCGGGCCTCCTCCTCCGAGGGGACCAATCCTCGGGCTGCATACTCCTCTCCTGGGCTTGTTCGCAGCGTTTCGAGTGCTTTTAATGTTTATGTTTTTACGACAGCCATGTGCAGGCGAATTCTGCTCCTGCTGGGAAGGGGAGCAGAAGGGCATCATGGGAAGGCAGAGTTCTGAAACGACGAGTGTTTTATTCCTGCTTTTCCACACCAATTTTAAGGGCGGATACTAGCAAAGACGTTGGACGGCTGCACGGGTGTCCGTGTCAAGAAACAGACGAAAAATAGCACTCTCCTCACCAAAACAAATACACATAGCTCTAAAATGATCTCCCTTGTCTCACACAGGGATTAAGTGCATACTTTGTCCGACAAGTATTTTGTACAGGCGCCGAAAGTATCTGAAGTACTAGAACAGTCATCCAGATTAACAGGTAATATCACAATAGGTCATAACTAGCTACAGCCACACTTTGGAGTGGGTTTAACTTCCTTCCTGTGCAGACAATATGAATATGGTCCGTTATGAACAGACTGGGATATTACAGCACAGGGAAAGGAAGGAGACGGATGGCCATTAAAGTGCACTTTTTATTCGCCATTAGCATGCCCAAGTCAGCTGAAGACTAGAGGACCTGTGTGCCTTGGAGACAGAGGACTGGTTTCCTTTGCTGTCAGATGGAAAGCATGTGTAAAATGACAACACATCAGTTTTGAGTTCTGCAACAAACTCCTCTTCAATGCTTCACTCTGCTCATAATTCTCACCACATCTCACATCTGAATGAAAATATGAGCCGAAACAATGAGCTGGTAGCGTCACACTCAGTAGAGTTTGATTGTTTCACTTTGTGAAACATTCAAGCCAAAACAAAAATGATTGTTGGTCAAAGAATGTTGGTCAAAAGTTGTAAAAGCACATAATGACAGAATCTCTGTACTCAGTACAGTATTTACCATATAATAATGTTTTATGGCTGTGAGGTTAGACAACTGTTAACAAAACTAGTTCTGAATGAATATGAATAAATTGAAAAATGTCAAGTCATCTTCATTTCTATAGCGCCTTTAACAATGTAGATTGTTAAAAATGTAACCTTTAAAATTATTTCATCAAAGAATCAATTGATTTAAACAAATATTATTGATGACATTTATAATAAAAGCCACTTAGTTATTTTACACCCGTTATTTTATTATTTTGAGATGTGCTCTTGTTTGAGATAGTTAGTTGATATAATCTATTTTAATGTTAATTTACTTGAACAAAGGCTAATAATTCTCCAATAAACGATAACCACAATCTAAACACCTGAATAAACTCCGATATTATGAGTCTTTCTCATTGCAAGTCTATTAATGTCACTGTCAATTTTCCTTATACCAAATGATGGCACATATATTTGTAGTAATAAGTGAGTTGTGAAAAAAAAGGAAGTGTAAAATGTAAAAATTGTTACTGTTGCCCCTGGACTCCCCTATAGAGTTAAATTTTGACAGCTGCTCAAATCTGCTGTCTAAGATCTTGTAGTCACCAAGAAGTGTCCGACCTTTGTCTTTAGCACTCTTGTAATACCAGTTTACATCTTCCAGACTGTTGCTGTCACGATTACTGATTTTATGAGATGCTGTAGACATAGCCTACATTGTCTAATGAATATGTTCAATGATACATGTTTCTGTATCTTAAGACAACCTCTGTGCCATCAATCATCCACAATCATTTGCTGAAGTTCTGCATCTTCAAATGTTTGTTTGAAATGTGCGCTTTAGAGAATCAAGCTTAATGGTATTCTCAAACAACACCCCACATCCTCAGGTAATTTACTGCACAAACCATCAGCTTAATATATAATTATATTGAGAAGCTGATTTTGAGTGTCGTAGTTTATACTTTCTTAATATTGTACTTGAGTAAATAAATTGTGTGTTCATGAAATATGCAGAGTGCAGACTATATAACATTGATAAAGCGTTGCTAAATATGTGAAAATGAACTAAATACTCACAGAGAGACGGTCCTGTTGGGGAGCAGATTGACTTCTGGCGTTTCGGTCAGCTCCTTCCCACCGCAGCTGACTTTCCTCCGCGCTCCGGGCGCAGGGTGAGCTTTACCGCGGTCCTCCGCGCAGCTGCAGCCGCTGGAGAGGAGCTCCGGACAGCCCGCAGAGACTCTGTGAAGCAGCAGCAGGAGAAACACACGAACCCAAAACGGGATGCGGACGCAGGGTCCCGACATTGTCCCCCACACTATCAACTGTGCGGTCCCAGGTCAGCCCATGACATCAGGGCACAATCTTTTCTGGGTGATAATAACTTAAAGTATCAATGCTGAGACAGAGACAAGTTACTCCTTTCTGAGTATGAATGGATAGATCACCACGGTATACTGCAACACTCACTTCTGTTAACAAATGACAGCACTCCTGTCACTGAAGCAATAAATTATATCCATCATGTCATAATTCCATCATGCACTTTCTTTCCTCCATGTCCCATATGAAACGGAATAATTTTGTAGCACTTTACGAATGTGACGGGCAAACGAGCGGCGCACAGAAATGTCACTCTGTCGCCTTTCTAAAAAAAGAGAAGTTGTTACTCTTGTGCTTTTGAGCGCAGCGCAATTACGAGTCCTCAAAGCAGCTGTTGTCCATACTTTTTCCAAGCAGTATTTCACAGAAAAATGCGATTTGATTTGTCATAAAGTTCCGGACGCGTATCAGCAAACATGACGGACTGCTCCGCTGCGCTCCGGGGTCCGTGTGGTGTAAATCGCAATCTGACTTTGAATAACGGTGCAGATCCTAATTCCAGGACTCTGGCGCTTTTCCTCTGCCATCCTGTCACACTCACATTCAGCTCCAGCCACAGTGCGCACATTCCTCTCCCTGAGCCGCGCGGTCCTAGCGCAGCTAATTTCATGTCTCCCATATAAATCTAGTTATTACATTACAGTCTCCAGAGATTATGTTACTCTGATCATTATTATGGTAATAAAATGTACTACGTATTTACATTTACGAGAGACTGGGGAATGGGCAAGTGAATGTTAAAAAAAGTGTAATTATATTACGTAATTGTTGTAAATACATAGGCTAATCTTCTTAAAACAATCACAATTCAATATGTTATGATTTAGATGCATGTATCTGGTTTATTAAGTGAAAGAGGTCATTCCCTTTTAAAGGGATAGAAAATTCTGTCATACTCACCCTGATGTCGTCCCAATTGCAACTACCACTTTGACGCTTAAAAAAAGTTCATAAAGAAATCGTAAAACTAACCCATGTGAATGGAGCGGTTTAGTCCAAATTTTCTGAAGAGACACGATTGCTTTTTATGATGAACAGATTAAATTTAGGCTTTTATTCACAAATAAACATTCATCAATGCACACATCTGATCTGGTAAACGGAAGCTCAAGCATGTTCGCTTAACTTGAGAGAACCAATTAGTTTCATTCTTGTGTTACAGCACGTTTGAGCTTCTGCAAGAACCAATTAGGTTCATTCTCTTTTTCCCCAAACCACTTCAGCGGAAATCCCGCCCTGCAGCCGATTTCATTGGTTTAGGTTACAGTGACGGGTAGGTTTAGGGATCAGTGTTTGGTGTAGGCAATCAGTACAGTGATTGACATGACCAATGAAAACTTTAGAATCGGCTGCAGGGCGGGATTTCCGCTGAAGTGGTTTGGGAAAAAAAAAAAAAAAATCACGCTATGCAGCAAGTTTGAGCTTCCTCAAGAACCAATGAGGTTCATTCTCGAGTCTTATGCAGCATGTTTGAGCTTCAGCAAGAACCAATGAGGTTCATTCTCGTGTTACGCAGCACGTTTGAGCTTCAGCAAGAACCAATGAGGTTCATTCTCGTGTTACGCAGCACGTTTGAGCTTCAGCAAGAACCAATGAGGTTCATTCTCGTGTGCAGCAGCACGTTTGAGCTTCAGCAAGAACCAATGAGGTTCATTCTCGTGTTACGCAGCACGTTTGAGCTTCCTCAAGAACCAATGAGGTTCATTCTCGTGTTACGCAGCATGTTTGAGCTTCCTCAAGAACCAATGAGGTTCATTCTCGTGTTACGCAGCATGTTTGAGCTTCCTCAAGAACCAATGAGGTTCATTCTCGTGTTACGCAGCACGTTTGAGCTTCCTCAAGAACCAATGAGGTTCATTCTCGTGTTACGCAGCATGTTTGAGCTTCCTCAAGAACCAATGAGGTTCATTCTCGTGTTACGCAGCACGTTTGAGCTTCAGCAAGAACCAATGAGGTTCATTCTCGTGTTACGCAGCACGTTTGAGCTTCAGCAAGAACCAATGAGGTTCATTCTCGTGTTACTCAGCACGTTTGAGCTTCAGCAAGAACCAATGAGGTTCATTCTCGTGTTACTCAGCACGTTTGAGCTTCAGCAAGAACCAATGAGGTTCATTCTCGTGTTACGCAGCACGTTTGAGCTTCAGCAAGAACCAATGAGGTTCATTCTCGCACGTCAAGCAGGTTCGGTTGAGCTTCTGTTTATGTTTGCTGATAAATATTTATATGTGAATAAAAGCCTAAATTCAATCTGTTCATAATTTAAAGCGATCAAGTCTCTTTAGAAAATTTTGACTAAATCGCTCAATTCATATGGGTTAGTTTTACGATCTCTTTGTGAACTTTTTAGAAGCGTCAAACTCGTAGTTGCATAGCGGTCTATAAGACAGAAAGCTCTCAGATTTCATCAAAAATATCTTCATTTGTGTTCTGAAGATGAATGAAAGTCTTACGGGTTTGAAACGACATGAGGGTGAGTAATTAATGACAGAATTTTCATTTTTTTCATTAATGGCATTCTCACAATGGTGTCATTGATGAAAACAGCCACAGTAAAACTATGAATCTTTGAAAAGGTTTTAATTACATGCCCAACACTTGGAATAGGAATGACTATGAGAAACCCCTGAGAAACGGCAGCATTTCGTATTCTTCATCAATAACTACAAAACCTTTTTCCTTCTGTCTCTCTAGCTCTCTTAATATAACTAATAGATGTATGTTTGGGCTTGGCCTTTGACTTGTAATTAACGCTGACTACATATCAGGCACTATGACCCAGTTGGTCAGTCCATGGGGCTGTCGGTGCCTCCTTGGATCTTCGCGTGCGACTGGGCCATAGGAGCCTGAATGAAGCTTTGGCTGCGATGAGGACAGAGCACATGGGGTCTGAGAACCGAAGAGGAGAAATTTAATACATCCAGGAAACAGATCATCAAGAATGATAGATATACAGTTGCCTCTTAGTTTGTTTCTCATGGTTCTGACAGAACAAATTCAACAGAACTTGCTGATTTAAGTAAGCAGTTGGAGGATGGTTTCACATAAGAATTTCATAAGTATTTGACTTATCCTTACAGCTGTGTCAACACTTCATAAATGCACAGCTGAGGAAATGAAAACCACACTATAGAAGAACATCGCAAGTAACCTATTACGGTGTTATTACAGTATTGTAAACACGTAATAACAATGAACCACACACATGCACAAACTATTGTTGTCAAAGTTATAAGCTTTTTCTTCAAAACTATATTTTCCCTTACTGACTAATTATGGTTTACACTAATGCTGGATTACGAATTGATAAAAATAGCTTTAAAACGCTCCAATGAAGTGTTTTTTAACAAACTGTGGACTCCAAAACCGAGCCAAAAAGTGAGCGCCAGGCAATTATATTTCAACGCTCGGATACCACTAAGGAGAAATGTGTGGATGATCACCATGTGTCATGCAGTACACACAGGCTGCTTGAGGTTAACCTTCAGACGAACCAAAAGAAAACCACAGAGACAGAATCAGAAGGATTATTTTGAAGGGCATAACGTTCTTCCAATTTCTGTTTGTCATCATTATAAAAACAATGTGTGTCTGTTCTGCTGCTACTAAAATCCTCTTATCAGGCATTTGCTATGGAGGGAAAAATGCCTCCCATCAGCATACATTTTCAAATGTTTCAAAAAGAGCTGTTGTAACTACGGAAAAGAGGAAAGGGGAACCAGATATGGACCGCTGAGATGTTTATGGGCCATGCTGTAAAATTCCCAACACACACGAGACTTAATTTCCTCAGGTCTTTGATACTCACACTGTAAATCAACTTTTTGTTTCCAGCAGAGCTGAAATCCAACAGTGTTGTCTTATTTTAAAACGGCAACTTTTCATTTTAAAACCGACCCCTTTTGATATTCAAGAAGCGGGGGAAATAGGAAACCGTAGCTCGGGCTTTAAAAAACAGACCCAGGCCGCGTTTTGAAAATACTGCGGAGAAAACGGATAGAGGTTTTCAATTGAGGTTGACGTTGGTGTCTCGGTGCCACAGGTTCAGACGTGTGAGAGCTGCCCACTCGCACAAAGGGACACTGTACTCCAGCTAAAATCGTGCAAACCCGCGTTTGTTATTCCTGTACGGAATGAGGGCCTGCGGGAAAGACGATTCCGATTGCTTCCGGAAACGCGCACCACGGCGCCTCTAACCGACGTCTGTTTATCCTGCACTTTAAATAACGTTTCGAACACGTTCTCTCCGCACCTTCAAGACCCCCGAACCCTCCTCATCTGGTTCGCAGTTTCCATTTAAAATGTCACGTCCCAAACTGCACATTACATCAAATTGTACTTAATGGCATCCAGACAAACTTTTATGTCCTTCCAACATTCTGGTGCTCACTTTCGCTTACTCCCTCCTATTCCCCCATTGCTTTTCTTTTCTAGCTCATATCGCCGAGCAAGCAGTATCTCCCTCTCCCTCAGCAACATCTGGAGTCCATTCCAGGTGGAATAAAGAAGAGGGAATATAAATGGAGAAGTGGGCCTCAGTCTGCAGAGAGTGAAAGTTATACAATGGACAAATACGAGGAGGAAATGACAGAGTTATTAGGCTTTAGAAAGAGACAGACACTATATCATTTGTATACAGGACATGCAACCCCAAAAAGACAAGAAAGTCACAGACAGTTGAAATCGGTCTAATATGATTTGGTGCTCAAGTAACATTTCTCATTATTAGCAATGTTGAAAACAGTTGTGCTGCTGAATGTAGCAGGAGTATAATTCTCAAAATGTATCAGTAGTAGACCCTTTAAAGAATATATGTACAAAATATGATAGTTCTATCTGTTAATTAAGATGTTTTACGTACTACTGTTTGTAGTAGTCTGAGGAAGACATCATCTTCTAGATGTGCAAGTAAGAAGTAAACTGATCTGGTCATGTGACCTTTCACACTAGTCACATGACATTAATAGATATTAATCAAGACAATCTATTTTATCATTTAAAAGTTGAATTTCTTGCCCAGAAATAAGAAAAAACATGCGGTCACAATTGTGACCGGTGAGATTAAACGGGTGCACTTTTGATCAATTTAATGCACTAAATTAAAGTATGATTTTTTTATTTTATTTTTTTATCTTCGAAACCACATATATAATTTATTTATTCACAAATCAGTTATGAAAAATAATAAATAATTAATGTTATATATATGGGTAGTATCTGAGTAAATGTAACTGGGATTACGTAATCAGATTCCAAATTGTAATAAGAATTACGTTTAAAATGCTCAAAATCACGTTACAGTTACTTTTTTATGGATTACATGATCACATTTTAATCATACAATGGTAGTAAATTATTCATAATTTATTGATTCTAACTAATTCTTCAATTTATTGATTCTAACTAATTCTTCAATTTACTCTTTCAAATGGTCCTTTCTAATATATATATATATATATATATATTCATTTTCGTTTGACATTTTTATGATTTAATTAATCATTAGCTTTTCATCAACTCAGAATCCCACAGCAGTTCTTTAATT